AAAGATAGACAATTTTGTCCTTGGTAATAGAGAGAACGTTCATGATGTCCACATAATTTTCAAATATGACTGACTGGAACTCATCCGGTTCAGTCTTTACTCTCATTTGGAATCTATTAAACATGCACCTAGATACATAGATAAATGGTGTCATCTCCCTCGCTTCATCTGAAAATATCCAGACTTGACATGCATTTTAGTGAACCATTGTGCACAGTGTAGTCTAGAACGTGAGGTTGCAAAAGAGGCGAGAAGTGTAGCTTTATGCAGGTTTTTGGGGCCCCTAGGCATGACCTATTTTTCTTTGTGACACACGCATATAAATTTTCCCATGAGTTTGTGCCTGGTTAGTTTTTTTAAGATGTCCTGATACACAAGGGAATCAAGCTAAATCTTGAGCTTGTCCTTTAGCGCTATAGGGACCCGTTGGGGTGGATACACGACTGGGGATATTGTTGGGTCCACGTTTATTGCCTACTCTCCTAGCAGACATTCAATGCCGTTAAAAACTTCAGAAAATTGGTGCCCTTGCTTTGAGGTCACCTTTCAGGATTGTTCTTGGTGTTGGGATAGGTTTTCTTTTGTGCTACAAATGGCCTCATACTTGCATTTCAATGGCTCTTCATAAGATCCGCCATGATCGCCAAGTTAAGCGTCACTCGATCTAACCTTCTATAGGACCGTACCTTGGTTTAACATGGAATGTTACAATAGTGAACACGCTATGGTATCTCACTCCCAGGATCCATGGTCTTGAAGACTCAATCACTAAACCTCCAAATGCAAACAGTGGTACTGTCTTATCTTTGAGTGGTACAATTTTTAATTGTTTAAACACACGTAAGAGTAAGCAGGTTCTCATACTTCCAGTGTCAATCTATTTTTATTTGGTCTGTTTTGCCGCCTATTTTTTACTTTGATACAGGTTTCTGTTGCACCTAAAGGTACACTATGTCTATTTTGGTTTTCTACCGGTATGTAAACATTGTCACTCATAGAATCATCTTCACTATCGTTTTGGGCAGCCGTGTGGATGTTTCCACTGCTATATCAGTTGCTAAAGAATCGTGAAGGCCTTATCATTCCTTATCTGTTGTTCTTTGTAATTGGTTTTGTCCTGTTGTGTGACAGAATTTAACCAGGCGGTCACACTGAGCATTCTCTTTTGTAATGGTTTTTACCACAGAATTATCACTTTTTAAAAATATCCCTCGTCATTATTTATTCTACCGGATATACCTTTAACTTCTTCAGTGAGATTCGAATTGTCTCTACTTATTTTACAGTTGATTCTACCGTTTCTGCAATCCGTAGGGTCGTTGCAATAGCCAGGCACCCACTTTTCTTCAGTAAGGAATTTTGACTTAACTTCACGTGTATCAAATATATATATAGGTCCACTAAGTTCGTCTCCTCGAAATTCATATTGCTTTTTTTATTTACAGAAGCCTCTTGAGAAAGGCATGGGTAGATTCGTTCAAAACCGATTGTCTCACTTAATTCTTGGTGATATTTCACCGGACCAAAGGAGTAATGATCCGCCAATATATAATCTGACCTGACTTAAAAATTAATCCATTTTTCCAGATTGAGTCTAAACTAGTCCATCTTTGAAGGGATTAACTAAGAAGTTGCTATAGTAAAAACAGGAAGTTTAACAAAATATCAATAGTTAAATTCCTCTTAACTTGATGGCAATCGTGAGCACGTAGGTCATTTCAGGCGTGCGAAGTGTCACCCAAGACTGGCAAAATGCTATGGTAAACCGTAATTATTAATGAAAAATTGCATCGTATCTGTCCTTCACATCCATTTCCTCATTCTGGCATCCTGTTATGTCATGGATGGCACATGATTAAAGATAGAAGCACGGGTCAGTGGGTGCATGCGTTTTTTTTTCAAGTTACGGCCATTCAAATCTACAAATCAACCATTCGCCCTTGCATGGAGTATTACTGCCATATATGGTCTGGTGCCCCTTATGTTTGTCTCAAGGTCCTTGATAAGATCCAGAGACGGATATTCAATATAATTGGCCCTGATCTGGTATCTCGTCTGCAGTTGCTCTCTCACCGATGTGCCGTTGCCTCCCTCTGTCTTTTTTTACAAATACTTTCATGGTAACTGCTCCGAGGAGCTGCTTTCGCTGGTTCCCAGACTTCATGAATTAAAGCGTTCTACTAGGCTGGCATCTCGCTCACACCCTTTCACTGTCGAAACTGTTAAATGCAGCTGTCTCTTCTACTCCAGTAGCTTCATGTCTCGCACCTCTCGTCTGTGGAACTCCCTCCCCTCTTCCTGTTTCCCTGATAGCTATAATCTCCAACTATTCAAATGTAACGTCAATCGACGTCTCCAGATGACCTGATCTATCCCCTATCCTTCTCTTCATCCTTTCCTCTATCACTCCTATTTTCTCTCGCTCCAACTCTCTGTAACCCCTTGTGTGCCAGTGGCTTCCCGACTTGGTTGGGGTGAAACGCTTAAAAATTAATAAAAATAGGGGAACAGAAATGTGTTTCTGGAGTAGCAGTTAACTACCCGGAAATATTAAAGCGGTAGATGAAGCATTTAATTGATTTCATATATGAGAGTGTGTGCTAATACAACACAAGTTACTTGCAATTTGAAAATAGGCTTTAGCAGGATGCTTAAAGTATTTTTTGGTAAGAAATTTAAGCAATTTTGCTAGATGTAGAATGCCATGAATGACAACAATCTTGTATTTTCCAAATATTCTTTAAGGGTTTGCTAGAAGTAATTATATAGTAAATCGAGAATCTCTTTCGCCTTTCATTAGTATGGCTGATGCTAACCTCCAGTAGAGCAACTCTTTACGCTTTTTCGGTCTCACGTTGTCCACAGACATGAAGTGGAACAATTGTATTGAATCAATTTACTATAGGTCTGAAGCTAGGAAGGTTGGTTCACTGTGTCGTGCTAGACAATTCTATTCATTAAAATCTTGGACATTTCGTTTGCCAATCGTACGTGCATCGAATATTGATGCCAAATCTGGTCTGGCATTTCTGCTAATATGGCTAGAGATTCATTTACAAAATTGAAGAGAAGAATCTGCAACGTTATCGAAGAGTTTTCCTTACGTTTTCTAAAAATATTTTCACAGAAATTTTTCCGATGATCTTTGGTACCTATACTTCACTAATTTAAACGCAATACTAGATTGGCAGTTAGATATCCTAGTTTCACTGCTGAAATTATTAGATCTAACCGTAAGTTTTATGCTCATAGTTTCCTCTCCTGCACTTCTCATTTCTTGCTTTCTTGTGAATTACGATCTTCAAAAATTTAAATGCAAATTCAATCGCCATCTTCTCTTTCCTTGGATTCTGTTTTTTTTTATTGCACTCTTTTATTAATAATGTTTTTCTCGGATTCTTCCATCCTCATTAACTCCCCTATTGCGTCTTAGTGGCTTTACTGTCACTATTGCTTTGGATGGAATGATTAAAAAACACCTGAACAAACAAATAATGGTATCGTAAACATATTAGAAAATTGTTTGTATTTTCTAAATAATATCAACTATTAATAAAAATGAAATGTACAGTGTTTTTTCACTTTCTAAATAGGTTTTCTCAAATTGCTAAAAGGTCAAATGTTTATTCGGATTTTGTAAGGTTTTTGGAAGGTTTTATCAGGGATAAATATATATGAGATGTTATGATAAGTTGTTGAACTTTATAAATAGTTTTGTTAAGCAACTTTCTTGAACTTCCTTTACAGTTGTTTCTCTCAATACGTGAAGCGTTTTCTCGTCTGTGTATTAGATACAGATCTTAGACGTTTAAGCTACTGGAAACAATGGATACTCAAAGAGTGAGACAAATTTCCTATAATTTTTAAGTAGGTTTTATCAAACTGCTCGAAGTAATCATACGGTCCGAGAATTTAACAATATTCGGACATATTCCAAATAAGTTTTAACATGGTACAAAAAGCAATGCTTGTAGTAAGAGATTTCGAAAACATTTTCAAACTTTCGAAATCGATTTTATCAAGCTGCTAAAAGTAATCCAAATTATTCAACTTTCATGCATTTTCTAAACAGGTTATATCCTACTGCTTGTTGTAATGGTATAAACTGAGAATTCGATATCATACACATTCTACATATTTCTTGCAGATTACTTGAAGAATGGTCATAACATTCAACTACTGACGTCTATATTTTAAATACCTACTGGCAATTTGATAACACAGTTAACTAATGCTTACCTGGAATCTATATTCACGTGTGTATCAGCCTGAGATTTGTTTCTCCGGGTGTCCTTAAAAATATGATTGCTCGGACTTTCCTTATATAATTTACGTCGATGTTGCACAAATATCAATCGGCAATCGCGACTACTGTAAACTTTGGAATTTCATCCAAATCACACGCCCTAAGCATAGAGAAAATAAAATGATGTTTTTTTTTTTGTTTTTTCATTTTTTTTTTTTCACGGTGTCATGCTTGACAATTTATAAGTCTACCATTCGATCATTGCTTTCATTATTGCCTTCACATCAGGTCTGGGCTTCCCGCTACGTATTCAGAGATTGTTCATAATATCCAAAGAATTTGTTATGTTATTGGTCTTGATATGGCATCTCGGCTTCAGTCACTTTCCTACCTCCGTAACGCATCTTCCCTGTGCCTTTTCTAAAAATATTTTCACGATAATTGTTCTGATGAACTTTTCTGTTTGGTAGCGCAAGTTTACAAATTAAAGCACAGTGCTAAATTGGCAGATAGGTCTCATCATGTTTCAGTTCAAATTGCTTGATGCAACCGCAAGTTCTATGCTAAAAACTTCTTCTATCGCACTCTTCCGTTTGCTTACTTGTGGTTGCTTGCTTCTACCGGACAGCGCATATTAACACTCCTACAGTTGCTTGCTTCTACCGGACAACGCATAGTAACACTCCTCCGGATGCTTGCTTCTACCAGACAGCTCATAGTAACACTCTTCTGGTTGCTTGCTTCTAACGGACAGCGCATAGTAACACTCCTCCGGATGCTTGCTTCTACCGGACAGCCCATAGTAACACTCTTCCGGTTGCTTGCATCTATGGGACAGCCCATAGTAACACTCCTCCGGATGCTTGCTTCTACCGGACAGCCCATAGTAAGACTCTTCCAGTTGCTTGCTTCTACCGGACAGCCCATAGTAACACTCTTTCAGTTGCTTGCTTCTACCGGACAGCCCATAGTAACACTCTTCCGCTTGCTTTCCTCTACCGGACATCCCATAGTAACACTCTTCCGCTTGCTTGCTTCTACCGGACAGCCCATAGTAACACTCTTCCAGTTTCTTGCTTCTACCGGACAGCGCATAGTAACGCTCTTCCGGTTGCTTGCTTCTACCGGACAGCCCATAGTAACACTCTTCCGCTTGCTTGCTTCTACCGGACAGCCCATAGTAACACTCTTCCAGTTGCTTGCTTCTACCGGACAGCCCATAGTAACACTCTTCCACTTGCATTCCTCTACCGGACATCCCATAGTAACACTCTTCCGGTTGCTTGCTTCTACCGGACAGCCCATAGTAACACTCTTCCAGTTTCTTGCTTCTACCGGACAGCGCATAGTAACGCTCTTCCAGTTGCTTGCTTCTACCGGACAGCCCATAGTAACACTCTTCCAGTTTCTTGCTTCTACCGGACAGCGCATAGTAACGCTCTTCCGGTTGCTTGCTTCACCGGACAGCCCATAGTAACACTCTTCCAGTTTCTTGCTTCTACCGGACAGCGCATAGTAACGCTCTTCCGGTTGCTTGTTTCACCGGACAGCCCATAGTAACACTCTTCCAGTTTCTTGCTTCTACTGGACAGCGATAGTAAAGCTCTTCCGGTTGCTTGCTTTTACCGGACAGCCCATAATAACACTCTTCCAGTTTCTTGCTTCTACCGGACAGCCCATAGTAACACTCTTCCAGTTTCTTGCTTCTACCGGACAGCCCATAGTAACACTCTTCCGCTTGCTTGCTTCTACCGGACAGCCAATAGTAAAACTCTTCCAGTTGCTTGCTTCTACCGGACATCCCATAGTAACACTCTTCCAGTTTCTTGCTTCTACCGGACAGCGCATAGTAACGCTCTTCCGGTTGCTTGTTTCTACCGGACAGCCCATAGTAACACTCTTCCAGTTTCTTGCTTCTACCGGACAGCGCATAGTAACGCTCTTCCGGTTGCTTGCTTCTACCGGACAGCCCATAGTAACACTCTTCCAGTTTCTTGCTTCTACCGGACAGCGCATAGTAACACTCTTCCAGTTTCTTGCTTCTACCAGACATCCCATAGTAACACTCTTCCGCTTGCTTGCTTCTACCGACAGCCCATAGTAACACTCTTCCAGTTTCTTGCTTCTACCGACAGCGCATAGTAACGCTCTTCCGGTTGCTTGCTTCTACCGGACAGCCCATAGTAACACTCTTCCAGTTTCTTGCTTCTACCGACAGCGCATAGTAACGCTCTTCCGGTTGCTTGCTTCTACCGACAGCCCATAGTAACACTCTTCCAGTTTCTTGCTTCTACCGGACAGCGATAGTAACGCTCTTCCGGTTGCTTGCTTCTACCGGACAGCCCATAGTAACACTCTTCCAGTTTCTTGCTTCTACTGGACAGCGCATAGTAACGCTCTTCCTGTTGCTTGCTTTTACCGGACAGCCCATAATAACACTCTTCCAGTTTCTTGCTTCTACCAGACAGCCCATAGTAACACTCTTCCAGTTTCTTGCTTCTACCGGACAGCCCATAGTAACACTCTTCCGCTTGCTTGCTTCTACCGGACAGCCCATAGTAAAACTCTTCCAGTTGCTTGCTTCTACCGGACATCCCATAGTAACACTCTTCCAGTTTCTTGCTTCTACCGGACAGCGCATAGTAGCGATCTTCCGGTTGCTTGTTTCTACCGGACAGCCTATAGTAACACTCTTCCAGTTTCTTGCTTCTACCGGACAGCGCATAGTAACGCTCTTCCGGTTGCTTGCTTCTACCGGACAGCCCATAGTAACACTCTTCCAGTTTCTTGCTTCTACCGGACAGCGCATAGTAACACTCTTCCAGTTTCTTGCTTCTACCGGACAGCCCATAGTAACACTCTTCCGTTTGCTTGCTTCTACCGGACAGCCCATAGTAACACTCTTCCAGTTGCTTGCTTCTACCGGACAGCCCATTGTAACACTCTTCCGCTTGCTTTCCTCTAGCGGACATCCCATAGTAACACTCTTCCGCTTGCTTGCTTCTACCGGACAGCCCATAGTAACACTTTTCCAGTTTCTTGCTTCTACCGGACAGCGCATAGTAACACTCTTCCGGTTGCTTGCTTCTACCGGACAGCCCATAGTAACACTCTTCCAGTTTCTTGCTTCTACCGGACAGCGCATAGTAACGCTCTTCCGGTTGCTTGCTTCTACCGGACAGCCCATAGTAACACTCTTCCAGTTTCTTGCTTCTACCGACAGCGCATAGTAACGCTCTTCCGGTTGCTTGCTTCTACCGGACAGCCCATAGTAACACTCTTCCAGTTTCTTGCTTTTACCGGACAGCCCATAGTAACACTCTTCCAGTTTCTTGCTTCTACCGGACAGCCCATAGTAACACTCTTCCGCTTGCTTGCTTCTACCGGACAGCCCGTAGTAAAACTCTTCCAGTTGCTTGCTTCTACCGGACATCCCATAGTAACACTCTTCCAGTTTCTTGCTTCTACCGGACAGCGCATAGTAACGCTCTTCCGGTTGCTTGTTTCTACCGGACAGCCCATAGTAACACTCTTCCAGTTTCTTGCTTCTACCGGACAGCGCATAGTAACGCTCTTCCGGTTGCTTGCTTCTACCGGACATCCCATAGTAACACTCTTCCAGTTTCTTGCTTCTACCGGACAGCGCATAGTAACACTCTTCCAGTTTCTTGCTTCTACCGGACAGCCCATAGTAACACTCTTCCGTTTGCTTGCTTCTACCGGACAGCCCATAGTAACACTCTTCCAGTTGCTTGCTTCTGGGGACAGCCCATTGTAACACTCTTCCGCTTGCTTTCCTCTAGCGGACATCCCATAGTAACACTCTTCCGCTTGCTTGCTTCTACCGGACAGCCCATAGTAACACTCTTCCAGTTTCTTGCTTCTACCGGACAGCGCATAGTAACGCTCTTCCGGTTGCTTGCTTCTACCGGACAGCCCATAGTAACACTCTTCCAGTTTCTTGCTTCTACCGGACAGCGCATAGTAACGCTCTTCCGGTTGCTTGCTTCTACCGGACAGCCCATAGTAACACTCTTCCAGTTTTCTTGCTTCTACCGGACAGCGCATAGTAACGCTCTTCCGGTTGCTTGCTTCTACCGGACAGCCCATAGTAACACTCTTCCAGTTTCTTGCTTCTACCGGACAGCGCATAGTAACGCTCTTCCGGTTGCTTGCTTCTACCGGACAGCCCATAGTAACACTCTTCCAGTTTCTTGCTTTTACCGGACAGCCCATAGTAACACTCTTCCAGTTTCTTGCTTCTACCGGACAGCGCATAGTAACACTCTTCCGCTTGCTTTCCTCTACCGGACAGCCCATAGTAACACTCTTCCGCTTGCTTTCCTCTACCGGACATCCCATAGTAACACTCTTCCAGTTGCTTTCCTCTACCGGACAGCACATAGTAACACTCTTCCGGTTGCTTGTTAAAACTATCCTATTTACATTATTTATATAACTCGAACTGTTATTCTCATCTCCATTGCCATATTCACAGCGTTTCGGTCGTTGTGCGCTCAGGCCTTCTTCAGGTGATTAGAATTTCGAGGCGAACCATTTATTTCCTCCACCGACGTAGATTGTTCTAGTTCCACGTGCCATATCTCTTCCCGATGTCTCAGTTTCACTCAGCTCTCCAAGTTTTTGGGTTCACCAATGGTATTGAACCCACAACAATTTGGATCTAGTCACTAAAGTACACATGGCTCAGTGGATAACGACGTTGATTAGATCCAGTGAATAGTGTAAGAAAGCATTGTAAACCTTGAAATAAGTTGCATGAATTTCTGTAAAACGACATTCCAAATTTCCATCTTTCTTCAATAATAACAATCAGATGATATGGGTATTCATGTCTTGTTGCATTATGAGACCAAAATTAAAAAGTGAAGTTTGTTTCTAATCAGCTGCAATATAAAATTACCAAGTATCTACAAATAATATTTAACTTAGTCATTAAAAAAAAAAACTTTTAATCGTGAAACTTTAATGTACCGTAATTCCCCATATATAATACGGATTTCATACGTCGATTTCATTTGCGAAATGACAACTCACCAGAAACATACAACAATTTGACACTAACATTCGGCGATTGCGACCTCATAAGGATGTCAAATATAATCATATGTACCTAACAATACGTACAAATATAAAATAAAATAAGAGTTATCATAAAACTAAATTAGAATAATATTATTCTGTTTAAAATCATTTTTTGTGAAAAACATCATATAGATGCGTAGATTGCACATTTTATCGAACAAAAACAGGTTAAAGAGTCTGCGCAGTAGGCACAATATAGGTATTTCCGTTTCCTTTTAGAATTGTGATGATCGGAATTTTTGATAAATTTCTTCAATTACAGCTTGAATAAGAGTAGGAAAAACTGGCCGTAATGAAATTGATGATGTACAATTTTTAGGGTTTGATTACCAAACAAGTGGTGCGTATTATGCGTGAGCAGAAGCATTTTCCCACACTTTCAGCACAGTTTTAGGTGTGCGTATTATATACGCGGAATTACGGTAGGTTATAACTTAAATGCAAGTTTACTTCGTAGCGAAAGCATTTACATATTTGGCATCAATGGTCAGCATTCATTCCCAGGTAAAAAGAGGGTTAGCATTATTTACACTTCCTTTCCGTCTTCCAGCCATTTACCTGTTGGTTTTTAATAAGCTTGTCTTTGAATATAATTATTAGGTTGAGTCTTAAATAATTTCTGTCTTTTGTTTATCAACTTTATTCTTCAAAAAGTAAAGTACACTTGCATTTTATTCAATTATATATTTAACATTATTTTCAATAACTTCTTGACAATTACCAGACAGCTTTTCGATAACTATTGAGAAAAAAATCTTTGAATTTTATATGACGAGATTTCATTTCCTACCGGTTGGAGGACTCTACTAGGTCACCCGGTAAGAAAATTTATTTCCGATCTGTACTGTTTATTCAATGCCACAGATTGACGGTCGGTGTCGGTGCGAGGAAAAGCGAGCGAGATTGAATTAAAAGAAATGGTAGTCAAAATGAATAATGGCTGACAATGTTTCGCCTTATAAGAATTCCAAATAATATTACGACTACTAATACTACCAGTGGATATAAAACAATTGAAATGACGACGAAAGAAATCCTTGTCATAAATGAAGAATGCTTGACAATGCTTCATCTAATCAAAATTCCAGATAATATTACTACTACTAAAACTACACTACACTATAAAGCAATTGAAATGAAGTTGAAAGAAATACAAGAAAATCTTGCTTGACGGATATAATTTAGAACATTAATTTTTAACTGATATCTGCTTTAAAAGTCAGCAGATGGTAGATATTTGCTTTGAGAAAGATTACATCTGTAATAAAACCGGAGAGAAGAAATATTTCTTTATTCGTTCAGGGGAATTATCGATTTTTTATTAACTTTCATTAATAACAGTCTGAAAAAAATGAAATGACCTATTTTTAATTTACTGCCTTATCCTTCCAGAACGTAATATTAGTGTTGTTATGTTAGACTATAGGGTAACAGCTTTTAACTGCTACTTCTTTGGGTGCTAAAGATACTCTTATGGTAGAGTATTTTTCCCAACTTTCAATCCATTCTTTTCTCTGTCCGTTATATCACTGATGCAATATCTTTCAAGGTATCTAACGATGAGAACGACCGAGAAAAGGGTATTGGATTCATGCCTTTCCCAAAGGTAGTGAGTGTCATAATCATAAATATATAACAGATGCGTCGCTCTAGATTGTCATTTTTTAAAAATATACAAAAGATGTATTAAGCACATTCATTATCAATTTATGAAATTTCTTAGTTATTTGCCACTTTGGAATATTATTGATCGTTTGCAAAGATTTCCAACTAAAACAGCTTTTTTAATTATTTACTTCGTCTCTCCAGCTCCAAACTATGGGTTAAATAGCAAACAGGATTGGATGGCAGCTAGTCTAGGAGAAGAACAATTTTGAATTAAAAACATTTCAGAAAGCAATAAGAAATCACTTCATTATCCTTCTAAAGTAGTTATGACAATTCACATAAAGTTAAGGTATCTGATGAGACTCGTCATCATATTAGGAAGGACATGTCATTTAAAACGAAAAAAAATAATCTCTTGATGCTAAAAATAGAACACTGGAAAGTTTTAAGAAACTTAATCTAAACCTAAAGTAGGTTATTAAATATGTTTCTTAATAGAAGAAAATTACTTTCGTTTGCCATTTTGGAACATCGGCTTCACGTTCTGTGGATATGCGAGGTATGCCATGTGAAAACTATGACAAACTTATGACAATCGAATTCATTCAGAGATAAACTTTCCGATGGGCATCCATGCATTTTGGTTCCTCGAATGCAGAACTTAAATCTGAAAACGTTCCGGACATTATTTACATTATTCGCACTATTGCCCTCATCTTTGTCGCCATATTCATCACAACGTTTCGACCGTTGTACGTTCCGACCTTCCTCAGGTGGTTGGAATGTAAATCTGAACCTTTTATTTCGCTCGCTGGGGTAGACTTTTCTAGTTCCATGTGACATGTCAAGGACACATGGCACAGTGTATAAAGGCGTTAGTTAGATCCAGTGACATGACCCAAAGAGTGTGAGTTCAATACTCGGTTAAGGCGGTGGAGAATTTGGAGAGGGGAATTAACAGGAGATAAGTGATAACTGACATCCATTAGAGATGGCACGTGGAACCACTTGAAGAAGGCTAGAGCGTACAACGACCGAAACGTTGTAATAAATATGGCGACAAAGATGAGGACAATTGTCCGAATAATGTAAATAATGTACATAACACCTCATCTTATATGATAGAAATTTTTGTGAGGATTTGAATAATCATTGATAGTAATTCTTGAAGAAACCTCAACAGAAAGTATTCGGCAGATGTTTCCTTCTTTTTAGGGAACACTCAGCAATTCACATAAATATCCAATAAATGTTATTTTCATATATATATATATATATATATATATATATATATGTGTGTGTGTGTGTGTGTGTGTGTGTGTGTTCGTGTGTGTGTGTGAAAAAATTTATCGAATTAACCTGTAGAGAAAGACAATATGCATGAAGGAAAAAAGACAATAAGAAATCTGTATTTTTAGCAGACGTGTTTTTCTCAGGTATTTATTGACACAAATTATTCTAGTTGCTAACGACATTTTCTTTGTTGTTTATAGATACTTTGTTTCAATAAATACATTTTTGGCCTTGAAAATGTCCACATTGGACTAAACGCCTCGGGTACTACTACAGTTTTCCTATTGTTTTTCCTTTATGCATATATATATATATATATATATATATATATATGAGAAAATGTGTTAGGAAAATTAATGACATTATAAATTATCAACGTCCCATTTCGTGCGAATGTGTAATTACATTAACAAAACATCATTCTAGGCCGATGAAGTTCTAAGGGATGAGTTGCGTCACACAAATAACTTCACTTTGTCATGAATTTTCCTCATATATATATATATATATATATATATATATATATATATATATATATATATATATATATATATATAAGTGCTGGGATATATATATATATATATATATATATATATATATATATATATATATATCCTGTTTTAAACAGCATTGATTAAGAATTTACATAGATCCAGTGCCACCTCATCGATTTGACCTGCAGATTCGTTCAACAAATGATTTACAGGAATTGCAATGCAGGGTTCGATGGTCAAATTGCCGCCATTTTATTTTTTTAAATTTCAGCATGCGCGTTGTTTGTTGCTTTTTTTTAATTTTTGTCTAATATTAGTAGGATCAGTTGGGCACCGTCTCTGAGAAAAAAGCACTATGACGCTATTCCCTCCGTCAGAAATTTAGTAGCGCCATGCTGTACTGCTTTGTATTCGCACCGGAAGCTCCATTACGAACATTTCAGAATGTCTGTGTGTGAATCTAAGGACAGCGCAGAGGATTCGAAGAGAGTTTGATGAATCTAATGATTATTACGAAACTCACTCTGAGCATTCTGATAAGAAAAGAAATCCCGAATTTGTTGGTGACGTCCTCACACTCAACACGGAAGCCTACATCAAGTCCTTTGAGGGGGGGTAGTGCTGACCTAGGTCAAGATGATGGCTGGTGGAGAACCCTATATCTGGCAGCAGGACTCTGCACTATGCCACACAAGCAGGAGAACCCAATCATAGTTGTCAGACAATTTCTGCGACTACATGACCCCTTACATCTGGCTACCTAACTCTCCAGGCTGCAACCCCCTTGATTATTATGTGTGTGACGTAGTTGAGCGAGTGCCCATCAAAACTCCTTGTAACATGGCAGTATTCACATAAATAAGGAGACCGTCCAGAAGAGTTGCAGGAGATTTCGAAGTCCTCTGGAGGCTGTGATTGAAACCAATAGCG